TTCTCATGTCTACTGATCCAGTTTCCTCTTCTTCTGTGCCTGTATCATCTGCGTCTATACATCCTACAGCAACCAGCAGCCCTACCATATCCAATCCCTCTCCATTCAATCCAATCTCTACTTCCAATGGTATTCAATGGCCTTCACAACTCCAGTCGCCTTCGATCCCCAATCCGGCAAGTCCATTATCTCCTACACTACCCATTCTACCTATTTCCTCAACAGCACCAAATCCAATGGCCTCCAATACGTTCTCACATCCTGTATTTACAGTCTCAAATATCAAGAACTTTGTTCCAAAGACTTTAAACCATCACAATTTCATTGTTTGGCGAGAGCTAATGGTTCCAGTTTTGAAGAGCAAAGCTGTTTATGGTCATATTGATGGCACAGATCCTTGTCCTCCATTTGGCAGTCCAAACTTTGAAGCCTGGATGCAAATTGATTATCAAATTCTGTCATGGATTCAAGCAACAATTTCCACTGAGGTGTTACAGATGATCATACAACCAGGGAGATCTCTATCGGCCAAGGAAGCATGGGATGCAATTCATACCGCCTACCACAATCAATTGGCTGCTCAAACTTTGTTTCTTCAACAAGAGTACTCTTCTATGCGTAAGCAACCAGGACAATCTATGCTTAGCTATCTACAGCATGTGAAAGGACTGATTGATAAGTTGCATGGTGTTGGGCATCCAAAAACAGACTGTGATTTAGTGTTTCAAGTGCTTGCTGGTCTTGATTCTGAGTACAGTGTTGCTAAAAGAACAATAACTCAACGAAATCCCTTTCCCAGTTTCTTGGAATTACACTCTCTGTTGTTGATTGAAGAAGCCACTCTTCTTCGTGAAGCAGCAAATCGACATCAACTTGTGATTTCTCCCAGTAATCCACAATTGCTTCACCTCTTGCACCATCCGCAAACACCGGTTGTTCCATCTGCTGCATCCTGGGATACTTCTTCTGGTAACCATCATCAACTTTATTCTTTGACTACTTCAACTCGAGGAGGACGATGGTCTGGTCGCAGAGGAGGTCGTGGTAGTTTCCGGAGTACTCGTGGGCGTTCCTATGGAGGTTCACGTCACCCTAGTTTCTCTGTAAGTTTTGGACGTGGATCTGAATTTTCTGGTAGTTATTTTTCTGGCAACCGTGGTGCTGTATCTTCTCGGGCTTTGCCTCCTCTACTTCCTACACCGTCTACACCAACAGCTTGCTACTCTATTTCTTGTCAGTGGTGCCAGTAGCCTAACCATCAAGCTCGTGACTGCCCTTTGCTCACCATTCGGCCCACAACAGCATCTACCTCTACCCATCAATCGCTGGTTGCTTCTACTTCTACCTCTGATCCGAACTGGTATATAGACTCAGGTGCGTCTACTCATGTTACTAATAATCCCAAGTCTTTACGTCAAAAGTCATCTCGTTTAAACTCTGAGTTTGTTCAAGTTGGTAGTGGTCAGTTGTTGCCTGTTACTATGTCGGGTAATACTGTTCTTCCCTCTGCTAATTGTCAATTCCACTTAAATAATGTTTTAGTTTCACCTCAAATTACTAAAAATCTTGTATCAGTGCGTCAATTTACTCGTGATAATAATTGTAGCATTGATTTTGATTCTTCTGGTTTTTCTATAAAGGACATCAAGACGAAGAACGTCCTCCTTCGTTGCAATAGTCCCGATGGCCTTTATTCCTTGTCTGGCTGTTTTTCCCGGGGTTTTCCTGAAGTTCATTCTACTGTTACCTCTACTGATATGTGGCATCGTCGTCTTGGTCATCCGGGTTCAGCTTGTCTTCAACAACTTTTTAAGCGTGGTCTTCTTCCTTCTTAGAATCGCAGTTTTCCTTCTGATTTGTGTCATGCCTGTCAACTAGGGAAGCATGTTCATCTTCCTTTTTCTGAGTCTAGTTCTGTAACTTCAGCACCCTTTGAATTAGTCCATTCTGATGTCTGGACGTCTCCAACTATTTCATTTAGTGGTATCAAATATTATTTATTATTTTTGGATGATTTTAGTCATTATTTATGGATCTATCCCTTGCATTCTAAGTCTCAGGTGTTTCAGTCTTTTCTTAAATTTTCTGCTTATGTTTCCACTCAATTTGGTGCTCGGATTAAGGCTTTACAATGTGATAATGGCCGTGAATATGACAATTCAGATTTTGCTCATTATTTTCAATCTACTGGAATTCATCTTCGTTCTTCATGTCCCTCGACTCCCCAACAAAATGGGAAAGCCGAGCGAATGAATCGGACAGTTATGAATATGGTTCGATCCTTACTTTTTCAAGCAAATTTACCTGGTACATTTTGGGTGGAAGCCCTTTATATGGCTGTTCATCTTTTAAATATCTTACCTTCAACCAGGTTACATTTCTCTACACCTCATGAAATGCTTTTTGGTGTTGTGCCCAACTATACTTATTTACGCACCTTTGGATGTGCATGCTATCCTAATCTTTCGGCCACAACCTCTCACAAACTTGCCCCGCGTTCCACTTTATGTATTTTTCTTGGGTATCCCACACATCATAAAGGCTACCGTTGTCTTGACTTAGCCACCAATAAAATTATACTCTCCCGACATGTTGTGTTTGCTGAGAATTCTTTTCCCTATAAATCCCTTCCTATTAATTACCCAAATCCTACTTCCTCATCCAATTTCCGTGCTCCATTTCATCTTTTTGATGCTGTCCTTCCACCTCCCATACAACCACATACTACATCTCCACATGTCCCCTCTAGTCCCACACGTGTTGCCTCATGCCCTCCCTTGCCTCCTACCTCACCTACCCATGCTCACCCATCTGGTTCTACTTGTTCACCACATGTGCCGAGCAGTCCAGCTGTTGCTGCTTCTTTGCCATCTACTCATGATGTCTCTAGTCATGCAGGTACTTCTTTTGCTGCTGCTCCTGTTGATGCTCCTACTGTTCCGCGCAGTTCCGTTGAAGCTTCCGCTGTTGGGTCCTCTACTTCCTCCACCGCCACTTCATCTTTCAGTCATGCCGTGAGTCATGGTGGTCGAACTCATACCATGGTTACTAGGTCCCAAGATGGCACGCGTAAGATTCGTGTGCTGCCTTCCTTGCTTGCTACTGATTGTGCCTTGCATGAGCCGAAAACTTTTAAGGAAGCAAGTGCAGATCCGAACTGGTGCACAGCTATGGCCGAAGAATTTTCTGCTCTTCTTCGCAATAATACTTGGAGTCTGGTTCCATGTCCCCCTGATGCTAATGTTGTTGGATCGAAATGGGTCTATCGTATTAAACAGAAGGCGGATGGTAGTGTTGAAAGATTGAAGGCCCGTCTTGTTGCTCAAGGTTACACTCAACAACCCGGTATTGATTATGATGAAACAGTTAGTCCTGTTGTCAAGCCTGTTACTATTCGGGTTGTGCTTTCTCTTGCAGTAATGCGTTCTTGGCCTATTCATCAACTTGATGTCAAGAATGCTTTTCTTAATGGTACTTTGTCTGAAACTGTTTACATGTCTCAGCCGCCTGGTTTTATTGATTCCGCTCATCCAGATTATGTTTGTAAGTTACATCAAGCAATTTATGGCTTGAAACAGGCTCCTCGGGCATGGTTTCACAGGTTTACTTCTTTTCTCCTCTCTTGTGGCTTTGTTCAGGCTAAGTCTGATTGGTCCTTGTTTGTGTTCCGCAAAGGTGACTTGATGGCTTATCTTCTTCTTTATGTGGATGATATTATTCTCACTGCTTCGTCTTCGTCCTTGTTGGCTAAAATTATTTCCCTACTGCAATCTGAATTTTGGATGACTGATTTGGGCTCTCTAAATTATTTTCTTGGCATTAGTGCTCATTTTAATGCTACTGGCTTGTTCTTATCTCAATTTAAATATGTTGCTGACTTGCTTGCTAAGAGTGGTATGCGTGATTGTAAGCCTGCCTCCACACCGTTGAGTCCGAAGATGAAATTAATGGTTGATGATGGTGCTTTGTATCATGATCCCTCTTTGTATCGTAGTCTTGTTGGTGCTCTGCATTACCTTACATTTACTCGGCCTGATATTGCTTTTGCGGTGGGCCAAGTTTGTCAATTTATGCATAAGCCTACTACTTCTCATTTTCAAGCTGTCAAACGGATCTTACGATACCTAAAGGGCACCATGGACTATGGTTTACAGCTATATCATCATTCTTTGCTTTCTTTGCATATGTTCACAGATGCCGATTGGGCAGGTTGTGTTGATACTCGCCGGTCTGTTTCTGGCTATTGTCTTTTTCTGGGCAATTCTCTTATTTCTTGGTCATCTAAGAAACAACACACGGTTGCTCGTTCTAGTGCAGAAGCCGAGTATCGTGCTCTTGCCAATGCTGCTGCTGAGGTCTTATGGGTTCGTCAGTTACTTTTTGAGCTTTATACTTTTCTTCCTACAGCACCGGTGCTATTTTGTGATAATCTTAGTGCTATCTATCTTTCTCTTAATCCCATTCAGCATCAGCGCACTAAGCATATTGAGATTGACATTCATTTTGTGAGAGAGAAGATTGCTTCTGGGATTTTGTCTATTCGTCATGTTTCTTCATATTTTCAGCGTGCTGATGTCTTAACCAAGGCTCTTTCTATGCCTTTGTTTCATACTCAGAGGGCCAATTTGAACGTGATTTGTATGCCCGCTCAAATTGAGGGGGGGTGATAATGTATATATTATAGTTGTATACTTGTAAAGGGTAGTTAGGGTATTTCCTATAATATTCCACATGTATAAATACTCTTTTACAATAATGAAAACCCTAGAGAGGCATCATCTTCTACAATCTCTATAAGGCAACATTTGAGAGATTTAAAAATTAAAATTACTATATATATAGTATTCAAAATTTTAATACAAGTACAAAAACATCGATTGATAATTTTATTCTTTTGCAATCTTAATTAAAAAAAAAATAGTTTTAATAATATCTTTTTTACTATTAGAATCATAACATTGCTACACGACAATCTCAACCAAAGTCTTAAGGGTCTGTTTAGTGATGTTGTTTTTCTTTTATTTTTATTTCTTTATTTTTAACAACTAAGAATAAAAAATAAAAATAATATTAATAAATGATATATAGTATTAACAACTAAAAATAAAAGAAATGAAAAAAAAAATAAAAACAAAAAACAACGTTACTAAACAAGCATTGAAAGGTTCTTAGTATAGAATGTAATGAAAATTTTTAATGAAATTAATGATAATAATTTCATCAATCAATAATATAACAATACTATAATTATAGTATCATATAAGATTGTAAACTTACAATCCTGACATGTTATTAGATGAGTGCAACGTATCATTAAATAAATAGATATAGATATATATATTATCATATGTGAATCTTTGAGTAAAAGGAATCATTATATAATGAATCATCATATTACAAATTTGCAATATCATGTGATATTATAATTATATTATTTTTAGATCAATAATAAAAAATATAAAAATTACAAGCCAACTCATATAGTGTAACACACTAGAGGGACTATAATAACACATTAAGTTAAACTTAAGATAATTAAGCATATAATAATTACATAGATATTTTAGTTGAATCCGATTCTAGATCTAATAATAAACTGCAAATCAATGTAATCTACCCAACCCAAAAAATGAAAATACAATTATTGAGATAATTAATTGTTCAAAGCACACAACACCCAACAACCACCTCTTATGTTTTCAACCTTTGCATCGAGAAGCACATAAAACATTGATAATACCCTTTTAGATCCCGCTTGGTCGGACGAACACCCACAAAAATCAGCCTTAAGTAGAGTTGAGACCCCTTAGAGCAAATACATAAGAAAATAGAACAATAAAATTTAAAAATAAAGAAAGGGGGAAGAAAACAAAATTAAAGCAAGAAGAGAATAAGTAATTGAGGATGGGAGAAAGATGGGAGAGAAGACCCTCATTCACAAGTAAGGTTATTATTATCAAAGATTTTATTAAAATTACAAATTTTAACTATAATTTTATTAACTTATAATTATTTTTATGTTCGAAAAAAAAAAACTTATAATTATTTTTAAATAATTAATTATAATATTTAAAAATATTTATTTATAAATTAATTTTAATTTATTAAATAATAAAAAACAAATTATTTTATTAATTATTAATTATTTTTTAAAATTAAATAAAAATAAAATTTTAACAATTTTAATACTCTTAACAAGTTTGACAATAATCATAATCATAACCATCACACGCTAGATTTTCTCAGTAGTGTGTAACAACTTTGAAAAGCGGATCGAGGAATTGGCAATCGTGGGTCAAAATACGACGTTATGAATTAGGCACTAACAAATTCTCACGTTAAGAAAGACATTTGGTGCGCGCAATCTTTTGACACGCTCATAAAATCTAAGATTATGTCATTCTCCTCTTTCCTAATTCCTAATTCCTGTGTGGTCTATCTACATCTATATCGTCATCATCCATAGCATTTCCACCCAATAAAGTTTATTTCCATTAACTCATCAGGAGACTCACTTACTAGTCTTTCTTTAACTACCCTTAAGATACATTGTATCTTATCGTGTCTATTTTTATATTTATAAAAATACACATCAGATATATTTTTACAATAAAAATTAATTTATACACAAATTTTATATATTATATTTATAT